TGCTGGACACTGCCGGGTCAGGGAAATCAGCCTGGCTGCAGCTTTTGGAGATCCATGAGGCTTTTATTGTTGTTGTTCAAGAAAACAAAACAAAAAGGAAAGAAGACAGAAACCACTTGACTACATGTAGAGTAGGGTTCGGTGCCCGTGGCCAGGCTGGTGCCAAATTCTGGAAACAGCAGCTAGGATCTTGTCCGGAGGATGGCACGGCAGGGATGGTTGCCATGAGCAGGTGTTCTGGGCTGAGTCCCCACCCCAGTTGTGCCCAGGGAAGGCAGTGATCCCGGTGACCCCGGTGGTATAAATAATCTCCCTGCCCCAAACATGTTGCCTGGGAAGTCACAGCCAGCAGCTGAGAAGAGGCAGGTTGTATTCTGAACCTCCTTGCTGATCTGCTTCTCGGAGGACAGATGTAAACAAAATGTTCCAGACACACGCATGCTATAGAATGAGCATCAGTGGCAAACCTCCTAGTGGCTTGGCTGACAAGGCAGGAGCTTCTCCAGGGATGACAGATCAGAGCCGCCCTCTCTTCCCCCTTCCCCGGACCTTTTCCTGGCCTTCTAGAGACTCAGGGAAAGAAATTCCCTGCCTCTCAGGCCCAGACCTTTCCGAATCTGTCCACCCTGTGCTTTTCCACACAGCCCACTGCAGCTGCCACAGACTGGCGTCCCCACAGTGTGATAGGAAGAAGTTGGGCTGCCGGTGATACAGATTTTTCAGGTCAGCCTGGGCTTCGAGAGTGTCACCTCAATGGGTTGGCCATTTAAGTCCCAAAGAGGGTCAGCTCGGTGGGTTGGCAAGCTTAGCCTCAGGAGTGTTGGCTCTAATGGACTGGCAAGCCAAGCCCTGAGAGTGTTGCAGCCCCAGAAGTATCTCAGTTCCAGAGTCTTGCCTTCTGCTGGCAGCTCTTCCAGTTCAGCCGGCTTCTGGGTGCGCAGTTTATGAGCTCCAGCCATCTTCAGGTTGGGGTTCTTGTCTTAGGCCCAGGAGGAATGAGAGACTCCCGCCATCTTCGGGTCAGATCCAACAATCTTCAGGTTGGGGTTCTTGTCTGGTGCCCAAGAGAAATGAGGGGGCATAGAAGGCTAGAAAGTTGATAAAGTAGGATTTATAAAGAGGACAGAAAAACCAGCACTGTGGAAGGGACCAGAGAGGATTGCAGATTTAGAGCTGGAACCTGGCACTTATATAGCCCTAAAACTGAGCCCATTGGCTAGCACTAGCTATGAGCTGATTGGTCAATACTAAGGACCAATCAGCAGGAGGTAGGGGCCTAATGGTGAACTGATTGGTCAGCACTTGGCAGTGAGCTGATTGGTTGTTTTTCTATCCTGGCAGTGAGTACTTAAGCTCTAACTTGGGGAGTTTGCAGTGAGCTAGTTTATCAGCCTGTGGAAGTTTGCTGCATTGTTACCAGAGGACCTGCCCTGTCTGCCTGCCTGCCTCGCTTTATCTCTGACTATCTTCTCTCTCACTAGGGCGTCTAGGGGTCTAGGTAGGCCTCCTTCCAAATCCCAGCTGTGCCACTTCCTGACTGTGGACTGTGGTCAAAGTGCATGTCATTGTCATCATGCAGCCTCATTGAGGCCTCAAGCATTACATTCTGGCTGGGCAGGGTTGCTTATACCTGTAACCTAGCACATTGGCAGGCCAAGGCAGGAGGATTTCTGAGGCCAGGAGTTGGAGTCTATAGTGAGCTATGATTGTACCACTGTACCCTGTCCTGAAAAACATAGCAGGACCCTGTCACAAAAATCAATTTTTGTAAAAAGTTACATTTTATTCTCAAGCTGTATGCACATGTCTTTCCTTAGGAGAGAGAGGGGGTGAAGGTGGGGCAAAAACATAGACATCGAAGTCCCATCACTCCACTCCTCAGCCCCGAGAGTGGGTGCCCAGCCCAGAGGCCAGTCTGACCTCACAGATCAGCATGGACACTCACCTCCGTACTCAGGCTCTCACAGCAATGACTTTCAAACTTTGTAAGCAGCAGTCTACTTTAAGTAATCTTACAAAAAACTATAATAGGTGAGATGAGTAAAAGCAGGCTTTCATTCAATCAAAAATATGCTTAAATTGAAATCTGTAATAGACCCAATAAGAGTAATGGAGCAATTTTGATTAATAAGAAATCTGAAGTCGGAGAGATAGATGACTGGTGTGGGCTGTTCTTAGAACACACGGACAAATAATTGCAAATGGTAACTTTTTCAGTTCTCCTTCCAACCAAATGATACTGGTTGGTTGAAAAGATAGAAAGCAAGGGTACCTGCATAATTAGCGTTTGTATACCTAACCCTGAGTTGTACCCCACATCTTTATAACAAAAAAAGAAAAGATAGAAAGCTTATCTATCTATTTTATGCCAAAGCTGCCCAAAATATGTAGACTAGCGTGTATTTGTTCACATGTACAGATGAGAACGAACTTTTATTAAATTATTGCATTTTTTGGCCAGGCATGGTGGCTCACGCTTGTATTTCCACCACTTTGGAAGGCCAAGGTGGGAGAATCACTTCAGCCCAGGAGTTTGAGACTAGCCTGGGCAACATGATGAGGCCTCATCTCTACCAAAAAAATAAAAAATTAACCAGGCGTGGTGGTGTGCACTCGTAATCCCATGGAAGGGTCATCGTGCCTCTGCACTCCAGCTTGGTGACAGAGTGAGATCCTGACTCAATAACAGCAATATAACAGATGAAAAAATTACTGCATTCTTTGAAAATGTATATATATTTTTAAAATAAATTTTAAAAACATTAAAGTATCTGAAACAGCTCCATCAAATCTCAGAGTTTGGCAGAAGATCATTTGAAACACACTCCCGGAGACCTTGCAGGACTCAAATCTCAATTTGCCTTCCATTTGTTATTTGGTCATGCATGTGTGTGTTGGCTTATGGAGACCGGTCCAATTCTCAATACTGACAGCTATTTGATGTAACAACTGGTGCCATTTGAATAATGTCTGGGTGAGGGTGTTGTATCCATGTTAATTTCTTGGTTTTGATTTTGTACTGTGTTCTATAAGATGCTACCACTGGGGAACGGACACACGGGACTCTACTGTTTTTGCAACTTACTCTAAGGCTATAATTATTATAGAAAAAATGTTTCTAAAAGTCATTTGAAAATGAGAATCAGACCGGGCTCGGTGGCTCAGCCTGTCATCCCAGCACTTTCGGAGGGTGAGGCAAGTGGATTGCCTGAGCCCGTGGGTTCGAGACCAGCCCGGGCAACTTGGTGAGACGTCGTCTCTACAGTAAATCAAAAAATTAGCTGGGTGTGGTAGTGCACACCTGTAGTGCTGGCTACTTGGAAGGCTGAGGTGGAAGGATTGCTGGAGCCCAGCAGGTCGACTGTGAGTGTGGGTGGCCGTGAGTGTGCCACTGCACTCCAGCCTGGGTGACGGAGTGAGACTCCAACTCAAAAAAAGAAAGAAAGAAAGAAAATGAGAATCATTAACTATTAGAAGTGTATGCAATTCACTTAATAGAGCAGTGTACACACCACACTTACAGAGTGAAGGTTTGTGTAGCTCACCTCAAAAAAAACAAATAAGTTCCTTTTCTTTCCTTGCCGCTGGGGTCCATGAACTGCACCCTCAGTCCGTCAGCTACTGTGGCACCATTGATGTTTTAAAAAGGAAACAGCCAAGCCGGGCTCGGTGGCTCAGTCTGTAATCCCGCGCTTTGGGAGGCTGAGATGAGTGGATTGCCTGAGCCCATGGGTTCAAGACCCGCCTGGGCAACTTGGCGAGACGTCATCTCCACAATAAATAAAAAATTAATTGGGTGTGGTAGTGCATGCCTGTAGTTCCAGCTACTTGGAAGGCTGAGGTGGAAGGATCGCCGGAGCCCAGCAGGTTGAGGCTGCGGTGGCCAGGAGTGTGCCATGGCACTCCAGTCTGGGTGACAGAGTGAGACTCCAACTCAAAAAAAAAAGGAAACAGCCAGTAGCAAATACAAGCATGTGCCTTTTCAAGAATTCTATATTTGCTGCTACTTAATTACTTAATAAGAAAATGGTGCGAAAACCCAAGAGTTGAATCTGCAGTCGCCTGATACAGAAAAAGGTGTATGAGGGAGAGTGGATGAGGGAGCGTGCTTTTCTGAAGTATCTCTATGCTTAAAACACTTAGTAATTAGAATAAAACAATGGCAACATGCCTTGATGCCATCCTCGGGTGTCTCCTGATCCAAATCAGAGCACCCATTTCCTGGTATGATGATACACAGTGATAAGTATTGTTCTACAAGAGAAAAGATTACAAAGTTAAAGGTTCTTTAGGTCGGGCACAGTGGCTCACACCTGTAATCACAGCACTTTGGGAGGATCGCTTGAGGCCAGGAATTCAAGACCAGCCCAGACGACAAAGTGAGACCCTGCCTTTACCAAAAAAAAGAATAAAATAAATAATAAATAAAGAGTTAAAAATACTTTAAAAGGAGTAAACCTTTGATCCATCCACTTTTCTATGTGAAATGTAGAAACAAGCATGGCAGTGGTGAAATACGGTCTTCTCTGTTCCCTTGGATTTTATGATGTGCTGTAGATTACTGCCATGCACTTTAATAGGATTGGTGGTGCTTTTGCTCTGTATGGCTTAGAGAAGTGAGACAGAATTCTCTGAGCCAACCTATCTGTCTTTGCTACAACCACCAAAAAGTTCAGTCTCCACCTTGACTCGAAGGCATGATTGCCTCCTGTGTTTTGACTCGAGTGAATAAATGTAGCTGAGTGCATCTACCAGACACCTGTGAAGGTGAGCTGAGCTCAAAACGCCTTCTCAGTGAATGCTTTAATGAGCGATGATATAGTTTCAGTTTTTAAAAATTCATTTATTCAGGAACATGAAATACCAAGACCCTAAGGTCCTTGTGTTAAGCAGGGCTGTAGTTTTGTGTCTTTGAATAGACTGTCTCAGTGACCCTTGACAGGGACTGGGCTCCTGGCTTTCTCACTCTGTCTGACCAGCTGTTCTGGCATCTTCCCCAGGGTTATCAATGCCGGGAAGAGCACACACAATGAAGACCAAGCCAGCTGTGAGGTGCTTACCGTGAAGAAGAAGGCCGGCGCCATGACCTCAACCCCCAGTAGGAACTCGTCCAAGAGGCGGTCCTCCCTGCCAAACGGGGAGGGATTGCAGTTGAAGGAGAGCTCGGTAAGATCCATCTTCAGCCCTGGTTCTAGGGGAAGAGGCATCGTGTGTGCTCGGGCCCCCAGGGAAGATTTGAGGGCTGGATCCGTGTCTGGAACAGAAGTGAGGAAAGCAGTGTCCCCAGAAGGGGTGAGATAGTGGCCTCTCTCAGGGGGTGACATGTTCCAAGCTGACGGTGGCATAGAAGAGACTGAACCACCCACACTGTATAGAGGTTTTGTTGTAAGAATTGATATGGATATGATGTTTGGCTTCACAGAAGCCGCTTCTAGGTCTTTGTGAGGGAAATAGTCTGGAAGCCTCTCCTGAGGGTGGACGTGACTCTCACTGATGACTGTAGCTGTGACCCTGTCCCTTGCTCCTCCCCTGAGGGGCATGCCTCTGGAGCCTCTGCCTGGTGCTCTTCAGATGAAATATTTGTTTTAATTGGCCCAAAACACTTGCAGCTCATGGGGTGGATCTGCAGACCGGATACCCTGATGACAAAAACCACAAAGTATTTCTCCTCTCTCCAGTTTCTGGAGATTAAAGCAGACATGTGCTCAAAAAGTTCTGAAGAAGCCCTGGGATAAGGGTGGGGACTTAATCAGCATTCAGTCTACCAGCAGGGGCTTTAGGTTTATGGAGAGATGTTTACTGGAAAAACCAGGAGATGTCGAACTGATGACCTAAATTTTGCGTTAACATTGCTATGGCTTTCAAAAAACCTAGGAGTCCCTCTTGAGTCTAAAAAATACTGTCACATTGCATCTGTGCTCAAGGATAAGAAGTACTGATTGGGCCTGGGCACACTGGCTCATACCTGTAATCCTAGCACTTTGGGAGGCAGGGGTGAGAGGATTGTCTGGGTCCAGGGGTTCAAGACCAGCCTGGGCAACTTGGGAGATCTCAGTCTCCACAATAAACCAAAACAAAATTAGCTGGGCATGGTGGCATGTGCCTGTCGTCCCAGCTACTTGGAAGGCTAAGGCGGAAGGATTACCTGAGCACAACAGGTCGAGGCTGTGGTGGCCGTGAGTGTGCCACTGCCCTCCAGTCTGGGGGACAGAGTGAGTCTGACTCAAAAAAAAAGAGTATTGATTGATTTTGTAAGTACTTGTTCAGTTTAGAGTTAGAAAACACAGCAAGTGCCTGGACTCGGTGGCTCAGCCTGTCATCCCAGCACCTTGGGAGGCCGAGGCGAGTTGATTGCCTGAGCCCACGGGTTCGAAACCAGTCCGGGCAACTTGGCAAGACCTCATCTCTACAATAAATCAAAAATTAGCCAGGCCTGGTAGCGTGCGCCTGTAGTTCCAGCTACTTGGAAGGCTGCGGCGGAAGGATCGCCTGCGTCCAACAGGTTGATGCTGGGGTAGCCGTGAGTGTGCCACTGCACTCCAGCCTAGGAGCTGCAGTGAGACTCCAACTCAAAAAAAACCCACAGTGACTTATGAGGACTCATCAGCTGTACATGTTTCCAGGACTGGAGGAGTACTGTTAGGCCTCTCCCGGAGAACCGGAGTTGAGAACCCAACGGGCAGAGTCGTTATAGGCTCTGGGGTCAGATGGCTTTGTGCCGTCCGCCATTCATCAGCTGTTCCATTTGGGGACAGATATTTATTTCTTGAGCCTCAGTTTTGTTTCCCATACAAAAGAGTAATAACGGTAGTAACTGCCAAATGCTAAGAGTTAGGCCAGAAGTATGAAGCCCAGTCGTCTGGGTACACATGGACATAAGAGTGGAAGAACAGACACAGGGGACCCGAGGTGGGGGAGAGGGAGGGTTGAAAAATGACCCACTGGGCACCTCACTCACTATGTGGGTGATGCGCTGGCTAGAAGCCCAATCCTCAGTGTCACGCAGTCCACCCACGTACCAAGCCTGCACATGTACGCCCTGAGGTTAAAGAAGAAATCAGTAGTCCATGGAAAACGTTGAGCTTGTGTCTTAATGAATTAATTATTTTTTATTGTATTGTTTGATAGAGATGTAGGGCACAGGTGAGGATTAACTCCATGAACAGACTGCATGCAGGTGAAGTTAGGGCTTCTAAATTCCCTCACAGCCCCTCATAGTACACCAGGTACCCTTTGTGATGTTAATGAATTAATCCTTAATAAATGTTAGTGGCAATCCTCCTGAGGTCAGGCCCACTTCTGTCATTTTCTGTGACTGAATTATATGTGTTTATTCACTTGTGAATTGGAGGTGACACAGTTCCTTTCTATTAGACAGGGTTATTTAGAGGGTTGAGTCATTTCAGGAAAAGTCACAGAAAATGTGAGACATTCATGATCATTGAAGGTGGGGGCTGGTTACTTCATGTCACTTTTCCCTTGATGTCTCTCTCCTGCTGCTGGGATGTAAAGTGAGTTCTGTATAAATAAGTCAGTGTTGACACTTGGCCTAAGGCCTGTTCGTGATGGCATTTTTCCTTTTTGCTAAGTTCTTCCTAGAGAGGAAGAAGGGGGTAACTTTTTAACTTCTGTCTGTAAGTACAGTGACACTGGGCCAGGTACAGTGGTTTATACCTGTAATCCCAGCACTTTGGGGGCTGAGGCGGGAGGATTGCTTGAGCCCAAGAGTTCGAAACCAGCCTGGGCAACCTGGCGAGACCTCCTCTCTAAACAAAACTTATAAAAATTAGCCAGGTATGGTGACCCATGCCTGTAGTCCCAGATATTCAGGAAGCTGATTTGGGAGGATCGCCTGAACTTAGGAGGTTGAGGCTGTGGTGAGCTGTAGTCAAGCCACTGCCCTCTAACCTGGGCAACAGAGTGAGACCCCCTCCATCGCAAAATCAAAACCAAACAAAAAAATAGCAAAACCAGAGCACAAGCTCTTTGGGATGGAGCTGTGACCCTCCCTGTGTTGGCTCTGAGTTTCTGTGAGCTCCCTCCCCCGGGGGCAGCCACAAGGCACCCAGCAGGATGGACACCCTGGGGGTTCCACTTCCTGCCCCCCTTGCAACCACTTCCATTTCTCTGCCTTGCATTTAAGGCTCCCACTTCGTTTACCGCAAGCACTGTGCTGTTTTTTTCTTTTTGAATTGTGGCAAAATAGAACACATAGAGCATCCTATTGACCCTTTTATCCGTGTTTGGTTATGTAGTTCCGTGGTATCCAGTACATTCACATATTTGTGCAACCATCACTGCATCATCTCCAGAACGTTTTCATCTTCTCAAACTGAAACTCTGTTTCCGTGAAAATAACTCCCCATCCTTCCCTCCCCGGCAGCCCTTGGCAACCAGCAGTCTATCTTTTGTCTCTCTGCATTGACCAGTCTAGGAACCTCTTATAAGCAGAATCCTAGTCAGACACAGTGGCTCACACCCGTCATCCCAGCACTTTGGGAGACTGGGGTGAGAGGATTGCTTGAACCCAAGAGTCTGAGACCAGCCTGGGCAACATGGTGAGACCTCATCTCTACAATTAAAAAAAAAATTAGCTAGGTGTGGTGGTGCATGTCTATAGTTCCAGCTAATTGGAAGGCTGAAGCAGAAGAGTCGCCTGAGCCCAACAGGTTGAAATTAAATTGCAGTAGTCATGAGTGTGCCACTGCACTCCAGTCTGGGTCATACTCTGAGTCAAAAAAAAAAAAAGAATCCTCCAATATCTGATTGTGTCCAGTGTTCTTCTGTAGCCTTAAGAAGGCTAAATAGAGCCGGGCTCGGTGGCTCAGCCTGTAATCCCGCCCCTTGGGAGGCTGAGGTGAGTGGATTGCCTGAGCCCGCGGGTTCGAGACCCGCTTGGGCAACTTGACGAGACCTCATCTTTACAATAAATCAAAAAATTAACCAGGCATGGTAGCGCGTGCCTGTAGTTTCAGCTACTTGGAAGGCTGAGGTGGAAGGATCGCCGGAGCCCAGCAGGTTGAGGCTGCGGTGGTCGGGAGTGGCCACTGCACTCCAGTCTGGGCGACAGAGTGAGACTCAAAAAAAAAAAAAAAAACGCTAAATAATATTCCCTCTCATGTATAGACTATGTTTTGTGTGTCCACTCATCTGTTAATGAACATTGGAACGGTTTATACCTTTTAGCTTGTCTGAGTGGTGATTGTTTTGAACATAGGTATACAGATATCTCTCTTTGAGTTTCTGCTTTCAATCCTTTTGGATGTATACCTAGAGTGGAATTGCTAAATCAGATGATAGGTAGTTCTCTCTTTACTTTGAGGAGCCATCACACTTGTTTTCCACAGTGGCTACACCATCTTACATTCCCGGCATCAAGGCTGAGGAATTCCATTTCGTCACATCCTCACCGGCACTTGGTGTTTTCTGTGTTTTTGGTGGTGGCCATCCTAATGGGTGTGAGGTGGTATCTCCTTGTAGTCTTGGTTTGCATTTATTTCCCTGACAATTAGTGACATTGACCATTCTTTATGTGCTTCCTGGTCCTTTGTCTTCGCTCTTTAGAGAAATGTCCACTTAAGTCCTTTGTCCATTTTTTTACTTGAGTTGTTTCTTTTGTTGTTTGTACTGCTTTCTAGAAACCTGCAAACCATGACCTAGTGTGGGACATCAACCACTGAACTCCTGCTGTGTTCGGGGAACCAGAAGCTGGGGATTCAGCAGGGAGTGAAACAGGGAAACTTCCGACCCACAGGAAGTTCACACTCCTAGAGGGAGACAATGGAAATGTGTGGTGTGCCCCATGAGGAGTGCTTTGGAGAATAAACAGAGGGGAGAAGCCACAGTGTAGGAAGTGGGAGGGGCCAGGTAATCAAAGAAGACATCTCTGAGAAGGTGGCCTTTGGGAGAAAGAGCAATTTATTTAAAAAAAATTTTTTTTTAGTCGGAGTCTAAAATTTTTTTTAGTCTGTCGACCAGGCTGGATTACAGTGGCATGCTCACTGTCACCGCTGCCTTGCCTGCTGGGCTCAGACCATCCTTCTGCTCAGCCTTCCAAGCCAAGGAACTATAGCGCATGCTACCAAACCCAGCTAGTTTTTTGATATATTGTAGAGACGAGGTCTCACCAAGTTGTCCAGGCTGGTCTCGAACCCCTGAGTTCAGGG